ACCTAGGCTAGGCCTACTTCCACTACTACTAGGCCTAGGCTAGCCTAGCTAGGCCTAGGATGTAGCTTATAGGCTAGGCCTAGGCCTACACTAACATGTTCTTGTACACCTTCAGTTAACAACACCGGTTTGAAAATAGAAAAATGGGCCCGATTATCTAACATTAGACTAGGCCAGAAACAATCTGCAATGTATTGGCCCAATGATAAATAAATTATACTAAATAAATTAAACTCACGTCCAGCTTCCCGACTTTAATATCACATCCAGCATGGAACAGCAATGGATTCACAGCCCATATAGAGGGCGTATATCATTATCGATTTACTTTATAGCTCTATGGTGTAAACAGAGGTCTAACAATACAAAATGGGGAGACCAGGGCCAACCAAAGTGAACTTAATCACTGAGCAGTACTGGTTGCCCCATCCCCAGTCACACGTATCTGTAACGAAAGTTTTGGGTTTTTTTTGACGTTTTTGTTCATTGTGAGTCAATAATATATACAAAGTATATGTATGCATCTATTGCGGTGGTGTGATATGAGATGAGATGTGGTTATGTATTTTCGTCATTACATCATCATTCCTCATCATCATTCACTATCATCATCATCAAAAAGCCTGGTATTAATAGTTGTTGCCAAGTCGGGCTGATCGCTTGCATATTAATCTCGAGATAAAGCCCATTTCGAATTGAGGCCCCTTTTTTAGTTTGCAAAATTAGCCAGTCGAAAAGAAGCCCATGGGCCCTTTTTCAAGATAGCATAGGCTTCTTTTCGAGATATTACAGTCACATACACTGTACATCAATTTCAGAAAACAAAAATAATAAATTAAATACAAGCTTGATTTATACAGTAATTTAGGCGATTTAACGCCAGTTAAATACACTGCATGATACAGATTGATGTTACAGTGGCCTTATTTATTGATTTATCGTACAAATTTACAAAATGTACAGCATTCATTTTAAAAAGAAGCCCCCCACCCCTTTACTTTGCAAAAGTAGTCTCGAAAAGAAGCCCATCTCGAAAAGAAGATCATCCAAATTCGCAAAAAAAAAGAAGAAGCTCAGGGCTTCAATTCGAGGTTTTACGGTATTTATAGTTAGATGGGGTAAACAAGGAAAGTCTCTGGGGTGGGGGAATATAAATATCGCAGTATTAAAGGTAGGCAGAAGATTATTGCTTCGAAAAAAAGACGCACAGATGGATAGGACATAATTTATATTATTATATATTTTTTGTCAACTATGCTTTACGGTGCCCGAGCACTGACTTTTCTATTCAGTCAATTATTGTAAAAAATACAGAACAAGTAATATTTTTTAAAAATTACAAATACACATAATTAATTAAAATTAATTTTCTTGGGATTTTCTCGTATTAGCAGGATCCGGATCCTGCTAACCGTTAGCTGCCGTGCGTCCATATATACGAGAAAATCCCGATCCGGATACCAAAAATATGATGATCGAATCGCTGGCCAATAATAAACTGGAAATTGTAAACGCGTACGTGTGATTGGTTGATGATAAAAACGCGCTCAAATTGCTAACCGATAGCGCTTGCTAACCGTTAGCGGTATCCGGATACTGCTAACGGTTATCGGTGCTAACCGATCGGGCGTTCTCACGCAGGTGCTAACGGTTAGCGCTAACGTAGCTCCCGATCCGGATACTAGGGTTCTCGTGAGAACCAGGCTTATTCCTTTGCATGCTAGAACTCACCTGTGGATCGAAGGGGTTTCTGGGACTGGTTATACGCGTGCGTTTTTGTTAAGTAAAATCGATCGAAGGCACTGCGATTTATTAGCACACGCGCATAATTCCAAGTATCGCAGGAGGTAAACGATGTCTTATTTGGCATAAACACTGGTATGACCAAGGTGATTTCGAAGTTATCTATCACTGGTTTCAACTTCTTCAGACATTGTTTGAAGAACGGAACCGGTTCGCGAATTTTATTTACTTTACGAAGAAGAAAAATGCAACGATATGTCATTATGTTCGATAATATTGTCATACCTGATGATGATGACCATGCGATGACGAATCGCAGTCAAAGATTTGAAAACAAAGATGACGTCGTGCGTTGTGCGCACACGCGTGTACATTCTTTGATTACGCGCGCCTATGGCAACACACCTTTTGTTGTAGCGACAGCCATGGAGATTACAACATACACTTCATGAATTTGAAGAGGATAGCATTGACTAACCAAACTCTCTGTAAGTTTAGCAATTTTATTAATTATTTAAGAATATATCTTCGACAATTTTAGTTCCTAGCTATTATTTCAACTTGAAGATTACACACAACGCAGCTTGTCTGCGTACTACAACAAAAACAAACAAAATTATTGAAAAAAAGTACCCTCAAAAACTTAGGCCAGATAAGGTTGTCTCTCAAAGCGTAGTTATGACAAATTATAGTGAGTATCTCTGTTCGTAATGCTTTTCTATTCAGACTCCATAAAACTTTTAAAGAAACAAATAATTACGTTTTGTTTCATTGTTCACCATAATCTATAAAATAAACCAAAAGTATCCAAATTATCTTTAACGGTTTCCAATAAATTTATGGAAAGTGAACGTTCTAGATTATAGTAAGAATATTTTGCATATAATTTGTTTTTACGGCCAATAGGATCGGACTGAATATTAATAACCGAAGGTAACTTTTGTAATCATACAGTATAGACATGGCCTAGATATTTATAAAACATCACTTAAAATAAGCCTATTTCCTGACAAACGTTTTAAAATATTTAACCACAGGTTCATAGGCTAGTTAGCCAGCCTCTTTTTTCCACTCCATGCATGCAGTTGGGTGACCAAAACCAATGTCGTGTCATACCTGTCTCTTATACACATCTAGATGTGTATAAGAGACAGATGTTATACAGTATAATATTAAATTTACAATCTATATAATTACCGGTAGTTAATAAAGTACTATTATTATCGTTATCATCATCATAGTCAACATCACCACCCTCATCATCATATTATTACCATTATAATAATTATTATTAATATTATTACTACTACTATTGTATTATTATTATTATTATTATCATCATCATCATCATCATTATCATCATATGGTATTTTTACTATAAGATATATGTTTATGGAAATTATTTTTGCCCTATCTGACGTGTTATCGTATACTGATGTCTCAGTACGTTCTATTGCAATAAAAAAAATTGTTATAAATGTTGCTATAGACTATGATTATCAGATATTTACCTTTCGTTGGGACACATTAAATATTTAATTATTATTTTCTTCATTAGATTATGCCAGGACGAATCAATCGTCTATTTAAACGCAAATCTCAAGGAAGTCAAAAAAGGTAAAAAAAAAGGGTTTTTACTGTATAATAAACGTGTTTGCATGTGCAGTATGTTTTGATATTAAATAAAAGTTGATGGGAATACATTCAGACATGTTTAAGTATTATTATAATGATATATAATATTTGACATTTATTATACATGACGCTGATAATTAAATAGTGTATAAGAAATTTGTAATATGATATAGATATGTATTAGCTATAGTTTTTTTTTATTCCACAGACGGTCCGCATTTGCCAGTTTCTTCAACAAATACTTCAAATGTTGTTTCACTGTTGAGGGATCCGAGGTTGATGGATATCTTAAACCATCTACTCAACACCAGGTTTGGATCAAAGTGCCGTCACATATCCGAGTTATACTGCTGAGGATTATGTATGGTATTGCCGTGGACCTTCCATGTGCTGCCATCGCGTACTGTGATTCTGATCCACAATTTGACATCGTGATCCGACAATACGCTAGGGCACTTATACTACTTGATGGCAGCTATTTCGATAGCAGCATTGATGTTGTGGAAGATATGGAACCAGACCACTTGGCTGCACTTAATCTCATCCGGAAGTGCTTCTCTATGGACGTGATCAATTACGTCCCAGCTCTGAAACAACCTATCGTTGTCGAAGGAAGTTTTGCAAATTGTAAATTAAAGTTCGGTGATGATGTTCTTACAAGATCTGTTCAGAAAGCCCTTGTAGAAAACAAAGACCACGTAATCGACCCGAAGCTTTCATTTGCCAGTATTTTACAGTGGCATCGTGCACATCTCGAATCATCTGCTACCAAATTGTTCCAATTGGTGAATGGAGGATTCAGTTCGACGACTAAGACATATGAGGTACAGCATCATAGGCTTAAAATTTAATATTTCTGATTAAAATTAACTTATAATTAATAATGTTATCAAAGGATTTCTTATGGC